AGGGACTGAAACCGAATCATCTACGCAGCTTTGTTCTGGCGAACCCCTCGCGGCTACCCGGCCGTCGGCAAAAGAGGCATTATCGTTGCAGATAGCTTCTTTTCAGCACTAGCTCGACGAACTCACCTTAAACCGGAAGCACCGCAGCCGCTCTGAATCAATGCCCATCTCACAAAGCCTGGCGCCACAGGTTATTGCATTTACCGCTCGCGTTTCGGGAATAAAGCCCGTAAGTGCCTACAGCCATGTAGCTGATCCGATGCAGATGGGCTACCAGGTCGGCTCCTAATGGCGACTAACAGTTTTCGCAAATCCTAAAGGCGGATCATCTATATTAGTGATTGTGATTCCGAGATCCAGTTCTTAGTGGACACAGGAGCGGAAGTCAGCGTCATTCCCCCTGCGCTAGGTGAGCCTCTCGCTTCGTTGTCGACAAGCACCTGGGTCGTCGATGGCACGCCATTAGCTACCTACGGTCATCGGTCGCTTACCCTGGATCTATGGCTTCGGCACATGTTCCGCTGGTTATTCACCGTCGCTGCAGTCCCCTTTGCCATCATCGGCATTAACTTTCTCAGGCATTTCGACTTCTTGGTCCATGTGAACTGCTAGATGATAGTCGAAACAGCAACGAGCCTCAGTGTACTTGGCATCACCGCCGATATCTTATCTAAAACACCAGTCCACAGCTTTACGCAGACCTCGCCAGACTACGCAAATCTCTTTTCTCAGTATCCCAAGCTCGTTCAGCCAATGAACGCAGCTTTGCCCGTGACAGCTCAAGTCACGCACTACATACGAACAAATGGCCCACCTGTGTCATGCCGTCCACGCCGACTATCTCCCGAGAAACTAAACGTAGCTAGGACGGAGTTTGAGCACATGCTTGAACTTGGAATAATCCGCCCTTCCGATAGCCCTTGGTTCTCGCCCTTGCAGATGGTCCCCAAGGAATCTGGTGACTGGCACCCTTGCGGTGATTACCGCGCACTTAATCAGCTAAAGGTCCCAGATCCCATCCCACACATGCAGGACCTTACGGCATGCCTCACAGGTAAGACGTTATTCAGCAAGATCGATCTGCTTCGCGCTTATCACCAGCTACCTGTAGAAGAAAATGATAGCCCCAAAGCAGCCGTCATCACTCTTTTCGGTATTTTTGAATTTTTAAGCAAGCCATTTGGACTGTGCAATACCACATAAACCTTCCAACGCTTCATCCACGACGTTACTCGTAGTTTAGACTTTGCTTGTTCCTACCTCGATGATATTTTAGTCGCCAGTTCATCGGAAAAAGAACACATCGAACATCATCGTACTTTCATCCAGCGCTTGACTCAACACGGTGTCAAAGTCCACCCGACTAAGTGCGAACGTGGCAAACCAACGGTAGAAGTCCTAGGCCACCTCGTTTTATCGACTGTTATCCAAGTCCTTCCTGATAACATCCAGGCAAGCAAAGACTTTCTAGTTCCGACTAAATTCAGGCACTACTGTCGATTTTGTGGTTTGGTCAACTACTATCGGCGCTCTATTTCGCGCTGCGCTCAGCTTATGCAGCATCTGACCTACCCACTCAGAGGGAATGAAGATAAGTTCGCATTCCCTGACACAGCACAGACAACCATCGCCGAGCTCATAGACGCTATCCCCAACATGGCCCTCCTCGCTCATTCCGAATTGACTGCACCCCTTACGACTAATGCCTTAGACGGCGCAGTAAGAGACGTCCTCCGACAATACGTTTGTGGACAATGGCAACCCCTTAGGTTCTTCTCCATGCGCCTGCAGCCAGCGGAATACCGCTACAGCACGTTTGGAAGTGAACTGCTCGCTATTAACCCGGCCATTCGTCACTTCGGGCACACACTTGAAGGCTGCGCTTTCACGGTCTACACTGACCACAAGCCCCTTGTCTTCGCCTTCAACTCGGCTTGCGACAAATATTCACCACGGGAAACAAGACACCTAAAATTTATCACGCAGTTTACTGCTGATATACGCCATGTCCCAGGTGTCGATAACCCCGTCGCCAACGCGTCAACCTCACTCTGCAGTCTTTGCCTACCGTCAACCTTGCCGCAATGGCATCGGCTCAGGCTCAAGATAGAGATATACAGCGCACTCTGCAGTCCACTTCGCTGCATGTGCAACCTGTTCCTCTTAACCCACGGAAGGAATCATCCGCTTAGACACCACCACAGTTTATCCTAGACCTCTCGTGCCCTTCTCCTTCAGACGCATAGCTCAGACGCATTGCACACGCTATCACATCCTGGTATCCGTGCAGCTTTGAAACTGGTCACCGAACGTTTCGTTTGGCCACACGTAAATAAAGATGTTCCTACCTGGGCGCGCGCCTGTATTCACTGCCAGCGCTCCAAAATACATACACACACCCGCCGTCCTCTGGGTTTATTTCCTTCCCAGGACTTTCGGTCCTTGCAGGTACACGTAGACTTGGTAGGTCACTTGCTTCTGTCACGCGAATGCGTATACGTTCTTGCATGTGTTGACCGCCTCCCTAGATAATCAGAAGCCATTCCCGTAACAGACTGTACAGCTGAGAAGGTTATCCTGGCCCTCTCAGACCGTTAAATTCTGTAATACGGAAGAACGTTTACCATCGCAACGGACCTAGAAATGCCTTTCGAATTTTCACAATTCGATACGGGTTGCAACGTTTAGGCGGACACCGCATTCATATCGCAGCGTATAATCCAGCAGCCAACAGGTTAGTTGAACGAATCTATAGATGGCTTAAAGTCTCGCTCTGCAAATCCGCCAACCCAAGCTGGAGCGAAAACTTTTCGCTCGTACGCTTAGGCATTCGCAAAAGCTTTAAGTCCGACTTGCAACGTGCACCAGTAAATCTGGTTTACGGCATAGCGCTAAATTTACCAGGAGAATTCGCTTCACCTCCCGCGTCGTGGGGTATGCCTCCGCTTAACTTTGCGCCCTCCCTAGCTCAACGCATGCGTTCACTACGCCGGACTGGGCCCCGTGAGCAGACTGGAGAAGTGCAAATGAACAGCGGACGCTCTACCTGCATTCACGTCTTCCTCCGCACCGATGCAGTGCGGCGCCCTCTACCGCCTCCTTACACGGACCCTCTCAGAGTCCTGCAACGGACACAGAAACATTCCACTCTAGGCCAGAATGGTCAGCAAACAACGGTATTCATCGACCGTCTCGAATTGGCTTGCTTTGATGAAATACTTGCAACCTATAATAATGCTATAACACAAATACCCATACCTGCGCTCACTGGATATCCCGAACTCCTCCATTCCCCTTGACCCGCAACTTATCCCGCCTCAACATCAGGCAACCGAACGACGCGGTAGACGCGGCAAACGTCCGGTTTGTATTTCAGATTTTGTAAACATTTGTTATTTCAAGTAACACATCTTTTTCGTCTTCAGTGGTAATTGTGCGTTGTGTTCACAAACGTTTAGCAAAATCAGCAAAAAATCCTAAATATTTTCAAACGTTAAAATGCGGATTTGCTTTGATCTTGCATGCCTTGTACCCTCCAGTGCGTCAAGCCACTTCTCCACCTTTCACCAACCCCTGAGTTCTACCTACCATAAACTCAACCGCAGGAAATGCCCAGGCAACCCACGAGTGACTCGCCAACCGGCTTAAAGCAACCCACCAGTAACTCGCCAATCGACCCAAGGTCCTCTTTCTGACCCAAAAAGCCATCATTCGCTAGCGGCCGCAGACAGCCACGAACGGGTTGGTCACCAACCGCCTAGCAAGGCGTCGCAGACCGGCACGCCCGGATTTCCTCCTGGGACGAGGACGCCTGGATTGCTTTGGGGGATGAGGACGGTGGACTGAATTGCGGTGGGAAGAGAGACACCTCGCAAGCACAACTTCGGGTCTACAGCAAAGGGAAAGTCCTGTCGGCCTGCTTTCTTGACTCGCCAGTATTTGCAGTCCGATCAGCCTGAACCGGCGGCCCACCGATGATGCGCTCTGGTCCACACGATCATCATAACTAACAAATAACCGAAGCCTGGACACAGAGAACCATGCTACACACCCCACCTCGGAAGCCATTGCTCAAACCCATGTAACTATTCGCACTAATTCTCACCTTCCGTTCTCACCGACAAACAGCTCCATCGAAGGCTTCCATCCTCCAGCCTTCTAGTGGAAGGCCCTTGTAGTTCACAGAAAAACACGCTGTTTCAGTATTTTGCAACATTGGCTTTCATGGTTGTTTTTACCTTCAAAGCGTCCATTTGTTTTACTGACGGCACATCTGTTGACACAAAACGTTTTGATGAGCAACTAGCTGAACCTTTCTCGCTCTAGTTGATGCGCTTCCTATTTTTGTAGCCTGCACAATATACGTTGGGTACAGTCGCTTCCAGCTTCTATACTGTCCCGTATTTGACACATCTCTTGCGCGCCTTTGATTTCCGACTACTGTCTTAGACTCCACTCAACAAGCCTAGCTACGTCTGAAAACTTGCGTGGACATTGGCTTAAGCTAAAACGAAAGATGCCTCAACTGAACATCACCGAAAAATAATTCACAATCCGTATAGTGAGCAGCTGAACTAGGCCTCCTCCTGATTTAATAGAATTTGGAACTGGATTAGCCAACAACATTGGCGTAACTAAAAGTTCGCCAGATCATTTGGCTGAAATATTATAAATTATATAAACGAGAGTACTAACATGCTTTGGTTCTTCTTTTCATTTTTCTAGTTTTCGCAGAAATAAGGAGAAGCAGCGTAACTTCGAAATGCCGGGGACTTGCTTCGCTTACCGAAGCAAGAAGCAGGAATCTCCTTAGGTCTGTTAACTCCAACAGCATGGCAGCTTTGCCACTGAAGCTGCTCCAACTTTGGAAATATATCTGGAATCGGTTTTAACTGTGAATTATGCACTCCCTCATTAGCAATGTTACATACTTAACTAAATGACCCAATAAGATGGCAACCGTTGCTTGGCGAACATTTGATTAGGAAGCATCCAGTGGCACTCCACAGTCTGAGTATGAAACGCATGTAATGGCAGGCTTTATTCAACTAGTGTACTTGATACCAGCAAGGTAGTAGAAATATAGTGCATGAGACAAGTAGCTAAAGGTGATTTAAAACTAACCTTAAATAAAAATTTAAGTAGAAGAAGGTTTCCACAAAGTGATACACGTACTAACAGAGTCAAAAGATACTAAATTCAGATTTGAAATAATATATTAATGAAAGTATAAGGCCGTATGCATATGCATATTTACCCGTAAGCACTTGTTGCTTCTCATTCATTCGTCTTTCCTTGATGGATCCAAAAACTGCGGCCGTACCAGAAAACACGACAAAATCTGGGACAGTTTTTGTTCCATGTGTTGAGTACTCAGATTATTCGTCACTTACCCAATCTCCTTCTTCGAATATGCTAATTACAAAATCCTGGTTGTTACATTTTAATAATAATGTATATAAACCATTCTTTCACGTATACTGGCTTCGAATACTACTTGTTCTATAAACAATTACAGTCCTTTTGAAAACTAACAATATTCATTTAGCTACGGACGAAGATAAGTTATACAGGTATAAGCTCTCCACTCCTCATGTACCACTTAATGGGAGGAATAAAACTATGTTGAAGCCTCCTGATTTGATTATGCTGCACGCAAACTACTTAACAGACGTACCACGTGTTGGCGAACTTATTTACTCGCTCCTTCAGCATGCACCTACAAGCCCTACCACAAGGCTTGAAATGTCTTAAGTCAGCAGCTGCGAGTTGCTTGGCTACAATATACAACTGACCTTTCTCGTATAGCTATATGTAATCCGAAACGTTTTTCCGCTTAAGTCAACAGGCGAAGCAGTATAGACTTATCCGACCCGGCGTTCTTTGGTCCTGATGGCTTTGCTGCTGTCATGTATCACGACAAAGTTTGGTTAGTCCATAAAAAGTGTGCACTTGCGTATTTTCGTGTCTTAGCTACCGCTTATCAGCCTGCAGCAAAATATTCAGGAGGGCTGTTTCCTGGAGGAGGTTTCCATTTCAAAGACAACCGCTCCGGATTTGGCGGGAAGTAACTACCAAGTAAAGCTGCTGGGTTAGATGCTATTTACCCCGAACTGCTGTGCGAGTTAGCTGATGAACTTTGCCTTCTGATTAAGTAACTGTTTGTGAAGTCTGTATGCAGTTGCTCTCTACCTACCAACTAAAAGGAGGCTATTGTATGTATCTTTTTTAAAGGTGACAAACACCTCCCTGAAAACACAGACCAGTCAGTTTAACGCGCGTGCTGGTCAAGCTGTTTGGTTGGCTCAGTGTCTAGTTGATAGACTGTTGAGATTACTACTACTACCAGCTGTTTGATCTGGATGCGGCAGCCATAGAGGAATCAGTCTGATCTCCATCGCCTCCAAACTGCTTGCCTCTGTCATCATTCACAGACTGACTGGCACTCGTAAAAGCCAGATTCGTGAGCAGCAAGCTGGATCTCGTCGAGGTCGTGGCTGCATTGACCACATCTTCACCTTGCGTCAGCTGTTGGAGCACCGCCACATATATTGGCGGCCCACCATTGTCGTGTTCTTCGATATCAAAGGTGCATTCGATTCGGTGGATAGACATGCACTTTGAGACTGTCTACTCAGGAGAGGTGTGCCCGAGAAATATGTGAATATTATCCGAGTATTATATGCTCGTAGCTCGGGCAGAGTGAGGGCTTACGGCAAGCTGTCGTCGCCCTTTAATATCTCCAGCGGCGTGAGACAAGGATGCACGCTGTCACCTTTCCTCTTCAACTTCGCTGTTGACGAAGTCATGGAAATCGCGTTTACAGGACACGACTTAGGTGTGAATCTGCTCCCAGGAGAACGACTTCTTGTCTCAGAGTACGCTGATGACATTGCCCTAATCTGTGACAGCTCACAAATGTGCCAAGCGGCAATGGACAGATTAGCACCAGCTGTCCGTCTCTTCGGGCTTTGCTTCGCACTCTCGAAGTGCAAAGCGTTCCTCCAAGATTGGTCTGGACCACCCCCTTCGCTTAACATTGGCGGGGATCAGCTAGAAGTTGTTCAAAAATCCAACTACCTGGGAAGTTGTATCAGCGCCCGTAGGATTGAAGATGAAATCACGATTCGTATAACAAAAGCTCGGGGCGCTTTTGCTAACCTTCACCACTTATGGCGCCGGTGCGACATCACTCTTGCACTGAAGGGTAGAGTGTACAATGCAGCAGTACGTTCGACTCTACTGTACGGTTGTGAAACTTGGCCGCTTAAAGCAGCGGACCTGAAGAGGCTAGTTACGTTCGACCACCGGTGCCTTCGTAATTTAGCTCACATCTGGTGAGAACACCGCGTGAGCAACGAGTGTGTCCGACACATTGTTTATGGCACAGGAAAAGGAACTGAACCGCTCAGCACCGTTATTTCACGCACCAGGCTCCAAAGGCTCGGTCATGTGTTACGCATGCCAGCCCGTCGACTCCCGCGACGTGCGTTGTTTGCGGGCCGGGGGTGTGGATGGAAGAAGAGGAGGGGTGGCCAAGCGATGACTTGGTCCAAAGGAATGAAGGCCCTCACTTCTGAGCTGGCCTCGGTTGGAGCGTCTCGGCTCCCTGGTTGGGGTCCGAAAGACGATGAACACGTTTGGTTGGACACATTTGCTGATATGGCTAGGAGCCGACCTCAGTGGCGTTCGTGCTGTGAGTTTCTTTGTCCCACTCCATCCCTCTTAGCCTCCCCCTCCAACCACGATCCCATTATTTAGCCTTATATAATTTTGCATAGTAATTTTTTTAATGCACAGCAGCCGGCTGGTAGCTTACCGGAACGATGCCTATCCGTTACCGGTAGCTCAGCCAGCTTGCACCAGTTGCATCTTTTTCTCCTTTTTTCTATGTATTGCGGCACAGTAGCTGAGGTGTTCCCCACCTCTAACTAACGTGTATGATGATGATGATGCGTTGTGTGGTTTAAAAAGTCTGTCTGGCATATTGCGCAGTATAGACCTTGCATGAAGTCATGCTGCAAATTGCTGATGAGGTTAGCCTTGTTCAACAATACAAATACGTCATTGTTCACTGTCCTTTCCGTTATACTAGATATGCTGGTTGTGTTATTGATGGGATGAAGGTTTTTAACCTCGTGGGCGGCGCCATTTTTGTGCCGCGGGATAACGACTGTTTTCCGTTGTGTAGAGTATACTCCGTTGGTAAAAGAGAGTGCAAAATATTGAGGAAAAGCAGGAGGAAGTCACTACCACTGCTTTTTATTAAACAAGGGGGATCCCATAAGGGCCTGTGCAAGTTGAGGAGTATAAACGAGAGACTTGACCAGTGATTTTCGCTATAGTGAATTTGATTGTACATGGACTTTCACTGTTGTGCGGCATGATAAGTGCTGGTGTATCAGATGATTCGTTGATCATTGATTCGGCAAAATAAGCACTAAAAGCATCGAAGATATCACCTGGTGCATCGAAGTATGTTTCATCAGACATAGTGATATAATTGAAATTGTTGCTGCGACGCGAACCCCGAGCACCGAATAGTCTGGATAGTTCAGCTGTTTTGTTAGAGCCGTCCAGAGCTTTATACTCTTCTAGAAAGAGTTTTGTCATTTTGATGCCTGTTCTTCGACGATCTTTGACCGCTGTAATAAAGGAGCAAAGTCAGCAGTTAACCAGAATTTCCGCCGAATCTTATGAATGTTTCGTGCTGCCTTAACGTATTGCGATCGGACTTATGTTCAGCTTGGTAAGCACATTTTTGTGTTACTGTTGAATCGATGCAGAAGCCGTTTATACTATAACACAATAGTCGGTCGCTCTGCGCACAGGTCAGCTCTGAGATCAACTCCGTACAGTGTCGCGTCGCGTTTCACTGCAAGTTCCAGTATGCGCACAAGTACAATTCCGGCCAGACAGAGAGTGGCGTGCGCCCGATGTAACGCGGTTCGCAATACAAAGTGGGCGCTTTTGGTCAACGAAAGCAGTGAAGGAAGATGTAATTGACTCTGTCCGTCTTATACAGCTAACGATAAGGTTGGTTCAGGTATTTTTCAGTACAGGTAGCAATATACTTTCCGATAGTTTCAAGAACCTGAGTGTAGGTGGAAAGACGATGCACTTGCGCGCGCGTGATTGCGCCGAAGCACAGAAAAAATTGAAAACCAACAGTAGAAGTTGATCCGTTGAGACTACACTCGAGGAAGTTCATGTAACAGGCGAGCAATTCATATAAGCTACCTAATAATTATACCCGTTATCCAGGTACCAGTATAGGATCGAGTGTTACCTCACCACGTTAGTCGCTCGGTTGGCCTGAGTTTTGTCCTAACAACGGATTTCAAATCCGGTGAAAACTGGAGCAATGTCGCAGACAAAGGGTTCGGATTGAAGCGGATGATCTGCATGCCTTTCGGAATCATCACCCCAGAAGTGCATCTCTACTAGACCATACCTTGATTATTGCGTTTAGCCTTCTCCACTCTGCTTGGTTCGTAATAGGATGTCAGTGAAGCGGCTTCTGAGGGTTAGAACCAAAATAGTTCGGTGGCTATTGCAAAGGTCGTATCCAGAGGGGCTAATTTTCAGGAAATATTTTCGCAGTATTGCCCTACATATCGGGGAGAATTGATTTTGAGCTTACAGGAAAAATCGAACCTACCTTGTCGTGGCTTTTCCAGTCAACTCGACTAAGCTCTGTCCGCGGTTATGCGATGAAGTTGCGCAAGCTACGATGCGGCGGGGTTTGGAAAGACTTTCGATTATCAAGTAGAGTAGTTGATTCGTGGGATGCACTGCACGAGGACGGGGTATGGACCCGAAGAGTAAAAGAATTTAAAAGTCGAATCGACATCTTCCGCTTGCAAATCCAGATATTCCCTTCCACACCATTATTAAAATTCTCCGTTTACCGGTCCGTGGCCGAAAGACAAGGCGTCAGCCTGACAACCAGGAGGTAGCCGGTGCGAGTTAGTGTAGGGAACCAGGCGGTCCTCGTAGTATTCCTAGACTACGCGTGACTGGTGATGGTTGTGTGGTAGCAAAGCGTGGTTACAACGTAAAGCTGGTGCT